GAAAGCTTGATATTATCTCACAATGTGGACTGTAGTCTAGAACAGAGAGCTGAATTTTCCTTGCACGTGAGGATGATGAATTGCAAAATTATTTTTCGCGCCTTACAAGAGAGGCATTTAGTAATAATGATTATCCTGTTAGAACTCCAGAGCTGGAAGGGACCCTGTGGATCATTGAGTCCAGCCACTGTCCAGGAGGCATAGAGGGGGCATCGAACTCCCAACCTCTGGCTCTACACTTAGAGACCTCCACCACTGAGCTATACAGCAGTGGTACATTTAACCTCCAAGGGAAAAAGCCAAGAACAAGATTACTTTTTTGTGTGTGTGCAGATTCAAGTGAAGTTGTACAAATAATGTTTTAGCACAAACCATGTAAGTTTTGCAAAATGGCAAGGGCTGCTGCTTTGCTTTCCAGCATTAGAAGGGCCAGGAAGGTTGTTTGCCACTTTCCCCAGCCATCAGTTAGTCCTGCTGTGCTTGTTCTTCCCCAGGGGTGTTGGCTTTGCTTCTTAAAGGAAAAGGGAACCGTTCAGAGAGGCAGCTCATGCAGATTACAAAGACCTTGATGAGGAAGAAAAAAAAAAGTAGCACTCTTTGTCTTGCTCTCTCTTGAAGGTGAGAAATCTTGAAAATGCATCATTTTATTAAGGCAGACTAAATCAAGAAAAACAAAAATATCAATAAGGATTCGTAAGGAATATAATAAACCCATTAATGTACTCCAAGGTTCTTTGTTGCTTTTCTTAAGTTCATACCTGTGACTTTTTTGCCTTATTTCAGAACTGCAAGTTGTCTTATTACACACAAACACACACACACACACACACACAGAAATCCATGTGTCAAGATTCTGTAAGTGATGTAAGATGAAGTGGGCCCACAAAAGATGTCCAGCAGAGCACAACTAAGGGAGGGTATAAAGAAAAATGTCAGAGTGAGTGGCTGGGCCCAGGGGCTTTGTAGTCTGGTACTAGAAGGAGGAAGGCATGTTAGTCCACTGGGAAGACAGGGTGGTGTTGGAGTGGGACTTGGGAAACTATGTTTGAGTTCCCTCCTTGACCGTGGGAACTCACTGGGGTGTCTTATGAAATTGTCAACCCAGTCTTTGAAAATCTTAGGACCTCTTCACACAAGGGAAATGTTTTCTAGTTCTTCCAGTACTTTCCATACCTCTGTTGTATTGAGTTGTGGTCACATGGTTTATATCCCAGGACGAACATCCCAAGAACTTTTAGCAGTACAGATTTATTTCCTCCTATTTGAATTGTTACGGCCGGCTACACCATGGTACCAGTTTATTTTTTCTCTTGCTTCAAGGGACAGTTTAGCTGTGCAGGGGGGGAGAGGAGTGAAGTCACACACCTTAGAGGGAGACTTGTTTCTGATATATTGATTTATTGATAAATATTATTTTTTAATTGCTAAATTGCCCCTTGAAGCAAAAGAGAAAACCAACGGTACCATGGTGTAGCCAGCCATAACTATTCAAACAGGGCAAATATTATTTTATATAATATTAAATATACTGTATTATATTTATATATTATATCTGCACAGCTTTCCTCCCTCCCCATTCACCCACAGTGATTGTCTCCAGCCCCTTTTGTTCCTGTCGCAATGGAACACCACATGGGGGGGCAGACTTGCACAAGAGGGGGTGGAAATTAGAGGGAACATTGATTGCAAAGGGGGTTCTGTTTAGGAAAGTGTCCCTCTGTTACAACTGGCTGCTCCTGCAGAAATGCATTGCACACAATGGTCTTGGGATAGCCATGCACCAGTGCTGGGGATCACACACACACACCACACAGAGAGAGAGAGAGAGAGAGAGAGAGAGAGAGAGAGAGACAGACAGACAGACAGACACACAGACAGACAGAGAGGGGAGACATACCAATGTTTCAATGTATCTTCCCACAGGAAAAAAAACAATATTGCTTGCCAGTGATGTAAGGGCAGTGCCCACTCCACCCCTGGTGACATATTTTTACCAACATATTGACTCTGTGTTGTGTGGCCAGGGAAAAAATTATTAACATAACTGGCGGATAACTACCTAACACTTCCCTCATGTGACCAAGGCCTTACATCCCTGGGAAACCCTCTTCTCCTCACCATAAGTCAGAATTAACACAACATAACACAGAGCGTACCTAGGAATAATCATCTGTGCCATTTCTGAAAGTTTTAAAATCAGCATTAGTAAAGACATAAGCAAGTAAATTGACCCATCCATAACCTCAGTTTTGTTAGCAGATCAAAACGTATGAAAATGATTTTCCATATCTGTTTCAGGCACATGTTATTATGGTTTCCTCTAGATATTGTTGTCTATGATAAATGCTCCCAGATTTCTTTTTCTTCCCAGTCATATTTTAGGCTACTTACATGAGGAAGACAAATGGGCTCAGCATAAGGGCATTTCCTGCGGAGAACGCAAGCTGGAGACCACCCGGGATCCATACAGAAATAATTGTATCGGGTGGGAAAGCTAACACAAGACTTCACTAAATCAAAATGTAGATCGCTTAAAATACTAAGAGGGACCGGTCTATACCACTGATGTATGTGGTTGGTGGGAAACAGACTGAGGGCCTGTCTGGACAGGGGGATTTGGAGTGGTCTGGTTCAGACTTTAAAAGTTTTCATCTATTTTATCTCTCACTTGACCAATCCTTTTGTTCACATTGGAGGTGTTCATTTTTCTGTGAGAAGGGTCCACAAAAGTTTTTGGATTGCTGGTTTACTTGTGAGTAAATTTATCCAGTTTATTCATGAGTAAGGACTAAGGAGGCAGCAGCGGAAGACTGGTGCAAGGTGAAAACATTGGGGGTCAAGGTTGGGAAGTGAGGTAATTATCCCTCCCTCCCCCCCCAATTTTCCTACCTGGGGCAGCGCTGCCTTGTGGTGATAGTCCATGGAGCTGACCAGCCCCTTTCCCTTTAATTCAGCCAGCTGCGGTGGCTTTTCTTTTCTTTTTTTGTTAAATGTTGAAAGAGAATTGCATCAACTTTGCAGGGTGTTAGAATTGTGCTGTGTCAGTTGGGGAAATATTTTTTTTTGTAAGTGGAAATAGAGGAAAATGTTTCTCCATCCTTCCGTTTAATGCTGCAGCCCTCCTTTTACATCATATGGTTGTCACCTCAGATAATGCCACCCACAGATATTTTTTTAAGTGGAAATAGAGGAAAAGGTTTCTCCATCCTTCCGTTTAATGCCACAGCCCTCCTTTTACATCACAGGGTTGTCACCTCAGATAATGCCACCCACAGCACCATTTGAGTGCAACATAATCATCTGTACAAACTGCACAGTGGGATAATTAGGATCACGCTGAATCATACCAAGAAAGACAGAAGCCCTGTTGAAGAGCCAGAAGGGAGCAGGGCAGCTCTTAAAGGGGCAGGAAGGATCAATCTAAATAGAAACGTGTGTGGACTCTGTCATTGGGTTCAAACCAAAACGAATCAACAGTGATCCACATACCCATCTACTATATATGCCAGCTGCACAGTGGGATAATTAGGATCATGCTGAATCATACCAAGAAAGACAGAAGCCCTGTTGAAGAGCCAGAAGGGAGCAGGGCAGCTCTTAAAGGGGCAGGAAGGACCAATCTAAATAGAAACGTGTGTGGACTCTGTCATTGGGTTCAAACCAAAACGAATCAACAGTGATCCACATACCCATCTACTATATATGCCAGTCTGAATAGGTTTTAAGTTCAGTTTCAAAACCCTGGAAATTGATCCATTAATTTAGCATTTTAGTGTTTTGCCATCTTCTATTATAAAACAGCCTGACGGTGTGAAAAATCTACTTCTCTACAATGTGTGATACCTGACCACCTATAAATATTTTACCATACTTATCATTGTCAGTATTATCTATAGCCTAAAGTTCTGTCCTGTGCTCAAGAAAGTTGTGTATTAAATGTTGGTGTGCAATGAATTCCATTTGAGGCAACCCTATAAATGTTTCCACACTAAATATTAGTTTTCAGGAGAGTTCCTACACCTGGTATCATTGTTGCTGTTTCCCACATAGTAGCTCTTTTGACACAGGCGCTTTGTTGTGTGACAGTAATATCCATTTTCATAAGAAGACAAAGGGACATTGCTACAGGTTATAATCACTGCAAGGGTCTTTTTATGTTCAAAGGCAGTGTAAATTCGGTGACCAATAACTGGGAATGTCTCTAATATTGTCACATCACACTTATTTATATTTTACAAAATATTCCCCTCCTCTAGTTAACTGTTTCTTCTGCTTCAAGGCTTACTTTTTAATATCCTTCTTTTAAAAGTAGCAACAAATTAATTTATATCAACACCTCTGCCACTGTTAAGTCAGTTTGAAGGTAGTGTCACTCCTTGGCTAGAGCAAAGCCTCCAGATGTTCTCAACTGTACTACAGTTCCCACGGACCCCTTGTGACTCTGCTGGTTTGGGGATCTGGCAAGTTTTAACTTCTAGAAGTAACATTTTCATCTGGGAACTGTTGGAGTTTGTCAAAGGTGTACTTCTAGTACACCTGAAAAACTTTCAAGGGCCCACCAGAAGAATATACTCCTGGTCAGTCCTAGACATGTGCTTTTTAATGTTATATTTGCAATAGGAAGCGGATACAATGTCTGCTCAACAAACTAACAGGGGGAGCTGCGAGGTCTCCCCTCAAAATCATAAGTTGCCTATGTGAAGCATCAATAATATCACTTGCTGAATACAAGCATATATTCAAGAGTATATTTATACATATGTTATTATAGAGCTAAGACTAGTAGATGGTGTGGGAATACAAAAGCAGTTTAAACTCCATTTAATGTCAAATGCGCCCGTGTCTGCAAGTTTCTAAAGGGCTAGTAAGAGTGTTGCAGCTTAATCAGAAACCCAGGAATTAGCAGGACAGAAAAGAGAAACTTTTTGATTTTAAAATATGCTAAGACGTTCACAGCACCTGGCGTAGCTAAGATCTCCGGCGGTGTTATGTTCCTGCAGGTTCAGAGAACTGTCTTGAACAGAAGCTGAAAACAACCCGCCGAAGATGTCAGCAGCCCAAAATGCTGAATAGCCCGGAGGACAATATGTATTATAACCAGTTAAATGTGAGTTCAAAGTGGCAATAAAGCTGTTTTACTGGCTTTGTTTCCAGTTAATAATTTTGTTATTAATACCTGGTCCGCCCCCTCCACCCCCACCCCATTGCCCCCTTCTCTTCTTGCCCCCCCCCTCTGCCACGTTCTTCAGCTCTCGTCTTGAACATGTGCTTATGCTCTTTATCTGTTGCTTTCATGTCAGAATGTCTGCCTTCACGGTGAATAATTGATGTGGTTTATCAAAGACGAGCAAGATGCATGCTTCATCAGGCTCGCTTGAGCCCTTTGATCAAAAAAATTATGCTGTGACTTCTGATATTATCAGCATCTGCTTGCATTCAACACAAAATCACTTTGAATTAAAAATTAACGACTTGCTGCTTTGCTTTGACTGTGTGTTCTTGGCCCTCTCCACAGGGAACTCTAGAATACCAAGGGAGCAAGAGGAAGCCAAGAAAACTTGGGTAAATACGTAGCTATCTACTTAGTTCTAAGCAACTGAAAACAGAAGAAGTCCTTTGTGATATGACAGAAAATGCGCAAACTTCCTTGAGAGATTGCTCAAAATAAATGCCAAGAGCCTATCTCTGTATGGATGTTTTACTACACAAGCAAATGGGAGGAAAAGCCATGCACCTCGTGTTGCCAGGATAAATGCGGGAACTGCCTCTTGCAAGGGGAGGGGGAGGTGTCTTTTGGAGTAGATTTGAGCCGCCTTCAGTTCTTGGTTTGCTTTGTACTGCACTTCATGCAACACGAGGCAAGCAAGCAACCGAGGGGCGTGTACAAGCAGATGCCTGCAGACAGTAAGTGTGAGCCCAGCGTGAAGGGTGAATTTTCAGCTGGTTCATGGTGCGGACCATGAACCAGCTGAAGATTCAGGGAGCAAAGTCGTCAGTCTGCAGAAAAACCACAGCCTTTGCCTGCTCATTCTTCATTAAGGGCTGTTTTATACATGACTCTTTAAAAAAAAAACAAAAGAGGGAGACACTTTCCCTGAAAGGAAAATTGCCTGGCTATGAAGTGTGGCCTGCCTGTCTTCCAGAAGATCAGCCAATCTGCCTAGAAAGCATGCCAAACTGATATTATTCTGATTAGTATACTTGAGCCCTCAAAAGCTATTCCAAATGAAACAGTCTGACAACACTTCAGAAATGTAGTTCAGGCTTACCCCACATGTGTGTGTGGTTTGTCGAAGTGTGACTATAGCTAAACTACAAAGGCCAGTATCCTATTGCTATGACTCATTAAAGTAGTTCCATTGAATCACAATGATTTGCAAATGGCAAATCAACAGTTACACAAGTCACATTGAGTCAACAGACCTACTCTTGTTGGGACCAGTGATAGGATCCCAGTTGAAATACTTGTGAACATTCCTTTGAGATTTTTTCCCCTAATGGTTTATGTTCTGTATCTATGTATATCTATGTTTAAAATGTACGTACGTACGTACGTACGTACGTACGTACTTATCATAGATATACATAGATACAGAACATAAACCATTAGGGGAAAAAATCTCAAAGGAATGTTCACAAGTATTTCAACTGGGATCCTATCACTGGTCCCAACAAGAGTAGGTCTGTTGACTCAATGTGACTTTATTTATTTATTTACTTACTTACTTACTTACTTACTTACTTACTTACTTACTTACTTACTTACTTACTTACTTATTTACTTATTTATTTACTTATTGAGCTTATATGCCACCCGTTTAGACATAGTCTACTCTGGGCAGCTCACGAAAGACATAATAAAAACAGTTAATGTAAAAGAACAGATTACAACATTCATAAAAAAAAACAGAATAGATATAGATAAAGAAAGAGAATTACATAGTGACCGGGGGGAAGGCCTGTCTATATAACCAGGTCTTGAGTTGGGTTTTGAAAATGCCCAGCAAGGAGGCCAGACAAATCTGGGGGGGCAGGAGCGTATTCCACAGCCTGGAAGCCACTGCTGAGAAGGCCCAGTGCCTCGTTTTTTCTTTCCAGGCCTCCCTCAGCGTTAGGCTCCTCAGCCGCCCCTCCTGGCTAGATCGGGTGATACGAGTAGATCTAGGTGTGAGGAGGCATTCCACCAAGTATTAAGGTCCTAAACCGTTTAGGGCTTTGTATGTGATCGTTAGAACTTTGAAATCAACGCAGAATCGAATGGCCAGCCAATGCAATGCGGCCAGAGTGGGAGTAATATGTACACAAAAGATACCATTTCCTTCCTATCTGGAAAACACACATCTTGTTTTATACAGCTGTGTTTACCTCCTAGGAGAACATAAGAAGAAAAGTGAAAATGGAGACGGCAGATCTCATGGCGATGACATGTGGTCAAGATTTGTTTTTTGTTCTCTTTCTTGATTTGTTGGTTTTTGAAACTGACTGGCCTAGTTGAAAGTTTTGGAGGATTTGAAAGCTGGTATATTTGTAGAATTACGCGTCGTCTCAAAATCTTACCCACCTGTACATGTTCGAAGAGTTGCCAATACTGATCAGTGACTGATCTAATATGTGCATGCAGTTCCCACCACATATTTCCTAATAGGAATGCTAGCGTAGTGTAGTGGCTAGAGTGTCATCCTGTTTTTTGGGAGACCCGAGTTCAAATCCCCGCTTGGCCATGGAAGCTCACTGGTTGATGTGAATGGTAAACCACTCCGTGAACATCTCCCATACTTCAAAAACCCTGTTAGGGTCACCATGATACGGAAGCACCACATAACAACAAACTGGGACTGAAAGCACTTCTACTTGTGGGAGAGAGGTCTGGAAATCCTACCATCCCATGTACCCGTTTCTACCAGTTTCCCCATCAACCTAAATCAAGTGCTACACTGTTCCAGAACTACTGCAGAGCAGGTGCCAGGGGAGTTCTGAGGAGGGCCTAAGAAGCTGCAAGGAGACAGAGGAAGCAGGACAGCCTCCTTCCATGAACAGGACACCCTGCTTCCTTGCATTTCCCAGGAACCCCCTGCCCGCAAGACTTGGCCCAAAGGCTATATAGTGATGTTCAGCTTTGTGGGCTATTTGATTGTTTGCATAATCAATAATTACTGGAAATGTTTGAAATGGATCCGTCATCTATGGTGTGAGGTCTTCTTCTAATTCTGAAAGTTTTAAAATACTCACTTACCTGGTCAGTCTTCTCTGTGGCTCACGACTCAGAAGAAGCAGGAGAGAGGATTGGACTGAGTGCATAATGAATGGTTTGACAAAAGTCACTTGTCAGAAGCTCATGAATTTTGCTCCTTGAAGAATCCTGTCATACAGACAATTTAATGTAACCTAAAAATGGAGTCTGACTAGAACCCTATCGGTGTTCACCTAACATTTGTTTGGTATGTCCCAATCATTGGCAGCCAATTGCTAAGTTGTTGTGGCGCATCTTGGTTTTCTGCCAGGTCACCTATCTGATTGCAGAAATAAAATGCACCCTGGTATCTTGTCAGTTTGTCTCAATTGACTGCAGCAAGTTATACATACCTTACATGAACACCGAGAGGATTCCAGCCTCTGACCAGTTCAAAAGTTCTCATTGCCCAGTAAGCACAGGGAACCTTTTGTGAAAGAGGGAAAGAAGGTCATGCCTTAAGCTGGGGGGGTGGGGTTTCTGGGACTTGTAAACCACTTTAGTTAACTTGACCCAGCTCTGCTCCTGGCCCTGGGGTTTGGAGCGGCTGATGCTGCTTCAGTTTGACAGCAGCACTTCTTTGTTTTCCTGATCACATATGTACTGTTGGCTGGTGTCGAGGATAATGGGTTAATGGATCAAGGGTCTCACTCAGTATAAAAAAAGTCCCCTTATTCCTAACAAGTGAAAATGTGAAACACCCTTTCCGGTGGCTTGCACTTCCTTTTTTTTTTGTTCTCCCTCTTAGGCAGATAAAGCTTCTTGACTGGGAGGACGAGTATTACAAATCATTATCCGCTGTAGATTCCATCACAGAGGAGGACCACACATTCCAAGTTCTTCCTTCCTCCAATGGAGTGTCCTTTCGGAGCTGAATTTTCACTGCTCGGCTCCTTCAGTGCGCTGCTGGTAAGAAACCTATGACACGTTTGTCGTTTCTCATTTACCTGTGCGGGGGCATGCAGGAAGGTACAATGTGCAGATATGTAAGAAGTACAGAGCTAGTAAAAGCGGGTGCATGTTGTGTAGCTCGTGCAGGTTGGGCAAGGCACGACAACAAAGCTAACCCACCAAATTTCACCACCTCAGTAAGAGTGTGGCAAGGTTACATTTTTAAACTTCATTTTCCAGAGTTCCCTGGGCAGTATGGCCATGGCTATACTGGCTGAGGAATGAATGAATGAATGAATGAATGAATGAATGAATGAATGAATGAAAGAAAGAAAGAAAGAAAGAAAGAAAGAAAGAAAGAAAGAAAGAAAGAAAGAAAGAAAGAAAGAAAGAAAGAAAGAAAGAAAGAACATTGCCAAGCTCCGCCCATAGCCTCTAAGAATAATTTTCTTTTGTGATCAAAATATACAACATTATGAGGAATCTCTTAACCCTTGAGCTGATGTAAGACACTAGAAGGAAGTAGCACAGTGAGAGAGAAAAAAGTACTATAACCATTTATAACGCTGACTAGGTGATTTCTGACAGTATCTTATTAATATTTTGTGATAGAGCTTGTTGCTCTTATTTCTCTAGAGAAGGAAAAACCACACATCAAAAGCTTAAATTGTAAAATAAGGTGTTACTGAATCACTTAACTTAGCATTTTATAATGGCCCTCTGAATAGAAGTGGAAATCACAAGAAAAAGGCCAATAGTTGGTATAACCTGAGGAAACCACATTCCATGGTCCCTGGTCTGCCATGTACAGACAGGCACATATAAAGAGCCCTGCGGGATCAGAGCTGGAGCCTCCCTAGTCCAGCATCCTGGTTCCCAAAGAGGCCAAACAGATGCCTCTGGGAGGTCCAGGCTGCCTGTGTTCCCTAAGAACTGGTTTGCAAAGGCTGACACTACAGCTAAGGAACAGTCATCATGACTAGCAGCCGTGAATAGCTATCCGGCATATATTTGTCTAATCTTCTTTTGAAGCCCTTGGAACTAGTGGCCACCTTGCCATAGCAGATTCTGCACTTTAACCCTATGTTGTGTGAAGGAGTACTTCATTTTGCTTCTTCTGAACCCACTACCATTCAGCTTGGGTAGATGACCCCAGGTCCTGGTATTAAGGGAGAGGGAAAGTAAATTATCTGTCACCCTTGCAAAATATTATACAGTTCTATTACCTCCTTGCAGAATATTATACTCTTCTGTCACCTCACAGTTCACAGCATCCCCATTTAGATCCTTTAGACCAAGAGTCCCCAACCCCTGGTCTGCGGCCCGGTGCCAGTCTGAGACAGGTCTCCCACCCACCCCACATGCACTCGCACTCCTGCACAGCCCATTTGCACATGTGTGCACACGTGTGCCCCCTCACCCCTTCATGAGTGTGCATGAGTGTCCCCTGAGACCCCCCACCCTTCGTGCCTGTGCGAGCATGCACCCACTCCTTTGCACATGCACACGAGCACGGGGGGGGGGGGTATCGCACCTTCCCCAACCGGTCTGTGGACTTTAAAAGGTTGGGGACTGCTGCTTTAGACTATTCAGCTTCCCATGTTGTTGAACTATAATTCCCATTGTGTACAGCCATGGACGCCTGGAGATGATGGAGGTTACAATCTGGCAATATATGGAGACCAAGGTTGGGAGCCACTAAATTAGGTCAACCTATGACAGTTGTAACAGATACCACAAATGGTTGCTGGGTCCTGCCAGCATCAGCTGTTAAATATATAGAATTATCTATTGCAGCTCTTCCTGTAATACTTCCCCTCCGCCACGCTGAATGCAGCCCAGCCCAAGCATCTTATAGCCATATGCAGTGGCTCAGCAGATACTTGACACATGTTCTGTTTCTCCCATGCACCTGAGAGTGAAAAGAAGGGGACGAAGTCTCAGACACCAGGCAGTATATAGTACAGGGTAGCGACAGGTGGGCCTGCCTTTGATTTAGAGGATCATACATTAGTGAGCAGCTGTACTTGTATTTTAAGATGGAATTCTAAACTCAGTTAGTAAAGAGTAAACCTTGTTGAGCACAATGAGAGTACCTTTCGAGTGTCCCGGTTCAACAGTGGAGTCCTACCCATATTTATTAAGACATAAACTCTGCAGAGTAATCATCTTCCATGGTAGAGGAGTGCAGTCTCATTGGGCAACCTGAAGGACATTAGAACGACATCAGCAAAAATATACTGGCATTGTCATTACCAAAATAGAACTTGAAAAATTTGCCATGTAGGATGTGAGAACAGAAGTCACAGCTGAAGCAAGTTGAAACGGTTGGGGAGGTTCAACAGAAACCGTATGCCCAGATAAAGACAAAAGAAGGAAGATGCCACTGGAGAGTTGGGTACAAGTTGTGGCAGCTGGTGCCCATTGGGACTGGGAGGCAGAAGGCATGGCAGGCAGTGATGGGCAGAGCCAGGGATGACAGACAGAACCAGATACAAAAGTATACTCATCTATGTGCCTCCACAGACATGCACACTTTCAGACAGGTGGACACACAGAGAAATCTACTTAGACACTCCTTAGTCCTTTATAACAAATAACCTGTTTCCCCCAAAATAAGCCCCAGTTAAGGGAAACCCCGCCCTCCACCATTGTGCAGCAACCAGAAGAAGATGACATGATTGTATTTGAATAAATGTAGATTGTTATACATGAAAAAAAAATCCCCTGAAATGCGTTTTTTGGAGCAAAAATTAATATAAGACCCTGTCTTATTTTCGGGGAACCACGGTATGTGCCATTGGGTTGATTCCAACATATGGCCATTTCCCCAGGTTCCTAGGTATAAGGTATTAAAATATGGTTTACCAGTATCCCAGTTCTGGTAGTACTCTGAGACCATGTACTTTACCTAATGAAGCATAGCGGGCAGGGCCCATAACCCCATTGGCCATGTATACTCCAAGTGATGTCAGTCAGCCTCTCCCCCAGAAGCAAAGTCTAGGTCTGTGCTCCAACCCACTGTGCCATATTAGTACTTCCTAACCCTCACCCCACCCCATTCATTTCATAACTTATTAGAAGAGCAGAAAATACACTTGGTCACCAGTCTACCCCCCCCTTGCTTGCTGCCATTTCACCCTGCCTGTGGTTTCAAAGCCGACCTCTCCTGTTCTTTCTCCTTCCGCGAGCACCTTCCCTCTTTCAAGGCTACACACTCAACCCAGGTGTGAGACTGGGGTTCAGCAGGAGGGGAGCATACATGGGGCCTTGCCCCCTGCCTCAGGAAAAGGGGCAAGAGTGGGCTGGCTGGGTTTGCCTGGAACTGGGATGAGATCAGTGCTTGACTTACCCTAATGGATGAGCTGCTACTGGCCAAAATGCTCCTGTGTAGCTACACAAATGGTACAACCTTGGAGACATATTGTCCCAACTGTATTCATTCATTCATTCATTCATTCATTCATTCATTCATTCATTCATTCATTCATTCATTCATTCATTCATTCATTCATTCATTCATAGCCCACCCTATATCACAGGATCTCAGGGTCTCTTACAAAGCTATATAAAACAGTTTGAAAACATAAGATAATTAAAAGAAGTTAAAATCAAACAGAACAAAATTAAAACATGCAAATGTTAAAACGGTTAAAACAGTTGTGCTAACATCTATGCAGGCCGTGGTCCTTAACTGTAATAAATCTGTAATAAATAAGTATATATCTTAACTTGGCATTGAAACAATTTCACAATTGCATATAAATCTCTTGAGCACTTACTTATCCAATGAGTCATCACTGATTATGAGAACTGACTCTTTTAAAAAGTGCTTTGTAAAAAAACCATTCTTTCTATGTTGTTTGATCTTATACTGGCTCATTTACAGACTTAAGTTGTTGTTGGCTGGTTCACCCATCAAGTGATAGACATGCAAAAATATCATTGGTCTCAGAGAAGCAGTAATCAGACTATGGCTGTCATACTGAGGAATAAAGTACAATTTAGAGTACAGAAAAATGTGGCTCACGCTGCAAAATAGAGATGAAGTGTGTAGATCTGGGTGGCAAGCTGAGGCCCTTTAATTCAGAGGAGCAGAGATAGATAAGGTGGTCAGGCACTCCCATTTCTTTAAGGACTTGCCATAGTTTGCTGTGGTCCACACAGTCAAAGGCTTTTGCATAGTCAATGAAGCAGAAGTAGATGTTTTTCTGGAACTCTCTGGCTTTCTCCATAATCCAGCGCATGTTAGCAATTTGGTCTCTAGTTCCTCTGCCCCTTCG